CCCCACAGACTTAACCTTGCCAGAAAATCACTCTAAAGGAAATTACAAAATCCAAATTCACTTACATGTAAATGAATCGAGTATACTCTCAGACAAATTCATTTTCCAAATGGACAAGGATAAGAACTATAGTCTCCTTAATGTCCAGCCAATAGGATTTTAAAAAAGCACAAAGCGAAGCAGTAAAAAAGAAGCTGACGCTGTGGTGATGTTAAACATTTTGGGGGGTTTCTTTTTCAGTTTTTTTGTGTCTTATAGTGAAAAAGAAATAAACAATTAATTAAAAAGTGTTAACTTAAAAATGTGCTTCATGTGGTAACTGAATCTTACTTACAATTAAACAAAAATGAATTATAGTTTAAATTCCTATTAAATGTAATTGAACTTGAACTTAGAGCTTTTTGAGCTACTTCAGTACATCTGTATATGTAAGTTTATAATTAATTCTATTGTCTCTGAAATATGGTTAAAGTGTATTGTCAAATGTACTGAGAAGCATTTAGGTAAACTAAAATATACTTTAATGCAGTTTCTATCAAAACTAAGTAAGTAAATAATTAAAAAACAGCCACAGTAGGTTGCACCCTGAAGTAAGTGTGATCACATTTTCAGGCATCCAAACTCTGAAATGCTGTTCAAGATATGCTGCCAAGAAATGCTGCACCTGAAATTTGAGACATGTAACAAAATATAAAAGGCATATCTGGCACTAACTTGTGTTTGGTCCTTTTAAATGCTGCATAAGCCAAGAGAAACATGTTTACTGGAATAAAAATAAAAATAAAAGTAACAGCATTTTAAAATTCTAGCAGGAACAGTGAAAAATATCACAAAACAATAGAAACAAGATATCAATGTTTCAAACCATATTACCATGAGAAAAATTAAACTTCCAAATAATATGAAATGATCAAAGTTGTTTCTTACTTGAATGCTGAAAAAACACATTACTCAAGCTTAAGCCTTGAGCATGTCAGTAACAAAGGACAAGGCCAGTTTACACACACAACGCTGTTCACCCTTGGCACAACCTGACCAAACACAATACATGTCAATCTGATGTCTACATGCTTTGATTGAATTGTATGGAAAATGTAATAATAATGAACCACTGTAGATATTTCATGACAACATCTAATTAATTAAATCTCTCTCTCTCTCTCTCTCTCTTCCTTGCTCTGTACAATAATAAACAATATTGGCCATTTAGAGAAACTTTCTTTTTCCCCATTGTGTTGGCCAAGGTTAGATTACGATCACACCCTGGTACCATCTCATGCAGAATAATTTTTAAAAAATCAATCCAGTCAATGTGTGCAAGCTTTCTAAGTGGAGCCGCTGATGCTTTCTGTCCCTTATTCCAGCTGTGTCTGCGGTCTGCTTGTAGAGGTCATGAGACTGACTTTAACCATGTTACAGTACATACTGTTGCACATGCAAACTGGCATTTGCTTCAATTATTGTATTACATTAATTGCGGATGAAATAACAAAACATGCAGTGGCTAAATTCAGCTTTAGGAAAGAATGTATTATGCCTAGTTCTCTCACTGCCCCCTTTAATTGATTAAGGGTGGACATAGGAGTCTGTTTTGAAAACCATGTGATGATTATTTGCTTCAAGAACAAATACAAGTGGACGTCTGAGCTTGTATACTGAAGGTGAAGGCTGATTAAAGTTAATTTTATGATATCTGTTTGACTCATAGACAGAGTTTTATATAAAAACATTTTGAACAAATATGAGTGTTTTTAAATAACATATGGGCAAGTGCATGTTTTGAGAGTTGTCTCACTAATTTACTAATATTGTATACTGTTTATCTTGAATTCTGTGAGCTTGACAGACATTAAATCACTGTTTTCTTTTTGAGATCCAATGTTTTTTAAAGATATATTTATATTTAATGCTGCGTTCAAGTAGCTGCATATGTATTATTATACTAATGAAATATGTACATCTACTGAACCCTAAATCACACAGCTAATGCATACCTTTATGTAAACAATACAGCAAAAGACTGATGTCTGATGTACATTTCCCCCAGGGAGACATTTTGGATCAATGTCAGCATTTTCCTTTACAGAACTTATCCTAAGAGTGCAACTTATTAGACACTCCAAACTGTATCGTATTTGATGTATTTGCCTTGATGTATTTACGAATTTGAATTCTCTCAGAATCACAGAAATTTTATTATGTTCACAAGTAAGTTAGAAATGTTGTGATAGCTAATTTGGAAATATCAGTAATTTAGTTCACAATTTACACTGAAAAATATTAGTTGATTTAAAAGGGAAAAAAATATTTAAATATGCTGTTCATACCTTACTATGGTGAAACATTGTGTTATATTTAACCACATTAAGTCTAAATTACATTTTATACATTTTGACATTTAAAACATATAGATCTAAATTTATAATAGATGTTATATTTGATTTAGCTGCACCATAAAATAATTTGGCAATGCAAAACAAAACAATAAAAGGACTAGCCCAGAGATCCCTCCCTGATACTTTACTTTTTTCTATATTTAATTGAAATATTTATGTTTCTTATTATTTTTTATCTTGTATACATATTATTATTATTATATTAGGTGTCATGTTGGTAATGTTTATAGCATTATTTTAGTGTTGTGTGTGTTACTCTGATTATTTACTGTGTTTGTGTAGCAAAACTGTGTACTGTAGGCTATACATTCGTATTAGCAACTGCTTAAGGAAAGGCCTAATTTGATGTGTAATTTCATGGTGGTTATTAGTATATTTCATAATAAAAAGTAGATTTTGGGCATCACATACTATTATTATAAGTTTAAAAACGCACAGACATCACCGTGGCATCCCCTAATGCTGAAATATGTTTCTTTCAACCGCAGCTGCCATCTTTTCCTGTAAATTTAACCAGATTATTTTAGAGAATACATTTTGTGTGCAGGCACGTGCACACATAGACATCAAAGGGGGCTTGAGCACCTGCCCTTTTTCTTCCTCGAGAGAAAGTGCCCTTTATTATTTTTTTTTATATAAATGCATATATGTATATACAGTGGGTACGGAAAGTATTCAGACCCCCTTAAATTTTTCACTCTTTGTTATATTGCAGCCATTTGCTAAAATCATTTAAGTTAATTTTTTTTCCTCATTAATGTACACACAGCACCCCATATTGACAGAAAAACACAGAATTGTTGACATTTTTGCAGATTTATTAAAAAAGAAAAACTGAAATAACACATGGTCCTAAGTATTCAGACCCTTTGCTCAGTATTTAGTAGAAGCACCCTTTTGATCTAATAAAGCCATGAGTCTTTTTGGTTTAAAAAAATCGAAATATAAGGTCGGGTCGGGAAATGTTGAGACTGTCGAGTTCCGATGCCTTTCTCCCCTGAGGCAGGAGTGAAGCCCTCCCTCCCTTTCCAGCTGTGCTTGTCTTGGTGTGGAGGTGAGTGGTGATGAACAAAAGACTAAGCTACCTGTGCCTCGAATTTACAGCTAATTATCCAAAAGGCAAATATAGTTAATTTGTCTTTCTAACATCCATGACTCATGAGAGAGCTACAATGTAAGTTAGCTAAATAGCTAAGGGAAATAGGAAGTCTAGTATGTTAGACCAGTGCGCGTTTTTTCACTGCATGATTCAGTTTATTAAAATGCATTAAGAATGATCACAAAATTCAAGATATGGGGGCAGAAATTTATATAATTTCATATAGTTAATCAGTATCATGCGAAGACTGGCGTTTTTTCCACCAAAAAGCAGCATTATTACAATTCTGATATAGATTTTATACAGTAGTTCAATAAACAAGAATTTAATATTAAGACACTTACGTTTTAGACACAATATTGACAGTTTTTTTTTCTATTTCGCCAACAAATATAATTCCAATTTGCGTTTCTGATCAACATGACATTGTTTTGTTTCTGAATGAATCGACCGTTTAAATGATTCTGTTCAGTCCAGTGACTCACAGTGACTTGCTGCCACCTACTGACAATTTTAATTTAATTTTTAAAGTATCATTTCAAATTTTTAAAATAATTTCAAATATCAGTATTCAACGTTTTATGTTTAAAATATCAAAACAGTATTAATGCATTTGTAACTGCAGGTTAAATGCATTCATGTCCTGCATTAAACCTTGTAAAAAAAGCATCTAAATGCCACTTCTAATGCAGCTTCTGTGTTTTCTCTGCATTGCAAAGATTAATTTTGTCAATACTGATTTCATTTGCTTGGTAACAGCCCAAATGGCTTATTATTCTAATTGACTGATTCAATTTAAGAATTTGACTGAAAAGATAATGCACACTTTTAGAAAAAATTGCTTTAAAAAGGTAAAAATGGCCATAAAAGGTAAAAAAAAATCAATTTAAACTTGGAATTTAAAAAGATTAATTTCTATCACTGCTGTGAACTGATCACCACACAGAATATGAAAAATATCTAAAACTTTAGGAGTCAGTTGTCCACGGTAGTCCTTAAGATATCAGCACAACAACACACTCAGCAAAATACTGTCTAATTGTCATTATCGGTAAAATCACAGAAAATATTGAGATATATTTTTTGTCAGTATCGCACACCCCTAATATATTTAATGTTTTGTTTAGAAATTAAATTAAAATAAATATAGGCTAAGTGCCCTTTTTTCCACTTGAGCCCCAGCCCCTCAAAATGTCTGTGCACGTCCCTAAATTGTGTGCACGATACATACTGCACATGAGTATTCTGTAATACTAATGAACTACACGTAGCCTACATAGGATGCGAATAATTTGTGGCGCTACTGGTCTATGATAATTTATTCTGGTACCTAACAAATATAGCCTACATTGTTAGTCTTTTACACAAATCGCATGTTCCTCGTCCAGCAGTGACAGATGAAGGAAGGTGGCTCCACCCCTCTACTAACATCTCCCATCTGAGAGCTCATTCATACTGAAGAAATGTGCTGCACGAGCCACGCTCAACCTAAGCGCGCGCGACACATCTATCCACACATGCTCGGAGAAGAAACCACAATGCCACCGTCGTGCAAGTAGCAGGCTGAATGGAAAATAGTTATATTATGCACTACGTTTGTTGAACACAAGTGCGTAAAGACCAACGGATGGGGAACTATAAGCACTTCGTGGCGCGCTGTAGCTGGAGGAAACTTCCATGCGCTCGGTCTGATCACCGGATAATCTGAGAGGGAATGAGACGAGTGAAGTCGTGAAAGTTAGACTGAAGGAAAATGTCGGCGACACATGTCTCACCTTTGTCCAACAAAACCAACCAATATGAGGACGTGGACGCGGTCGAGGGCAACTGGCAGCTTCTCTTTGGTTTATCCTTCGCCATCGCCACTGTCACTTGCTTGGGAGGTTTGTACTCGCTTATGTCGCTGCTCAGGATGAGAAGCAAGTCTTCCCTCTGTCTGATAGTGGCTTCTTTATCAATAGACGACCTGATCAGCGTCGTGCCGCTCACGCTCTTCATGATCTTGCAATGGAGGAGCGGAGATGCGAACCGGTCGGGCGCAATGTGCACTCTGTCCGGTCTCCTTTACGTTTTTCAAGGGTTGTCAAGCAATATGAAAGCTTGTCTCATAGTTGCCTACACGTTTTACGTTACAAAACGCTTTGGAGTGTATCAGACGTCTAACCGACCTCTCGGGGTGTTTGTGGCTGTGGTGGCGGTGTGGACGGTGAGTCTCGCGGTCAGCGTCCTGCCCGTGTGTGGCTGGGGTCGCTTCGCCCCCGCTTCTCTCGGCTGTCTCCCGGAGAACGACAGCCTGTACGTACTACTGCTGTTCGCTGTTTACTCACTGTGTTTCTGCGGGTTGGTAGTTTGCTCGATTCCTCTAATCTACCAGCTCATGTGCTCCACGGAGGCCCTGAGAACATTTTACCCGAACTATTTTGAAATTGCCGGGTCGGCTCCGCTGTGTGAGATCCCCTCTCTGTCACGGGATAGCTTGGAGAAAAGTTTGGGAGCCTACAATGAATTCAACTCAAAAACTGGCAGTTTTGAGAACAAAACGGAGACGTATTCTTTGTCATACTCTCCAGCAACCGGTCATTTCCAGAAAGATGAAGCTCAGAGTGCACTACATTCCACTGTGTTTTTCTCTCAGAAGCGCTTCTCGATGATTCTGGCCATGGCGCGAATGGTTCTGTGGATGCCAATGATGGTGAGATCTATAAAAGCAGTTACTTTTCACTTGATAAATCATTTATTTGTTACACTGAACTATTCATTATTGTTACACTGTCAAAATGAAAAGGTGGGCTACTTGAGGCCTCATTTTGGGGTTCCTCAGACTATAGAAAGACCAATAATCATTGCTGATCAATATTGTCAAGTTTGCAATATTTTGTTTTTCAGTATATTCATAATGCATGTTATGGATTAATGTTGTAGTCTAATGATTGTTGATTATTGTGTGAAAAAGTGGAGAATATATTTAAAAATTGGTCCAATCCCATATCAGTTACTGGTCCAAAAGCTATCACACCATAATTTCGATTTAAGACTGCCACACTGGCAGAATACTGTGGAGTTCATCCTATTGTGTAGTAAAGGAACTTAATATTTCAAGTGCCTCAAAGCCTTTGCTGTCCCCTTACAGTGGGTGATTGGGGAAACTGTTGACAGCTTTTAGACTTCAAGCAGGAACTCCATGATGTAAGTTCCTCAGAGAACTGGCCTTTTTGAAAGAGAACCTTGTGGTTTTCATAAGGTTTACTAGTTTGAGAATCTGAGAAACCACAGAAAGTGCCTTATTTACTTTGCACCAGTCTAAAATGTCTTCTTCAACATTATTCATAGATATATTTTCTGTTCGATGTCAGGGAAGGCCTGAAGGCAATGATATAGGCTGAACTTTCAATATAACCTGTCAATGTAAATGTTTCTTTTAATTTCATTTTTCTTTTTTATTATTATTTGGTCAGTTTAAACATCCTGAAATGATTGGTGATTCACCTATATTTTTCACTGGCAAATGTTGCCCTTGCAGACCCAAATCCTGGTGAGTCATGCTGTTCACATGCACAGCTCATCCTTGGAGACTCTCTGTTTTTTTCTGACCTTGCTCTCCGCGGCAGTCACCCCTGTGTTCGTGCTTTCGGAGCGCTGGATCCATCTGCCGTGCGGCTGCTTCATCAACTGCCATCAAGGCTTAGGATCCGAGGTTTCCAACGGTTGGTACACTGATAAAGAACCCCATCACCCTAATGTAGGCTGTTATGTTTTTATGCATTTTTATATAGGTTTATAGAAAGAACCTGGTGGTTTATTTTAAACAATTCATTTAAAATGTTGTATAAATGGTATATTTTGGCATATGTCTTCCATAAATATATCTTATTTATGTGTGTGTGAGAAATAAAATTAAAATATCTTTCCACATTGCCGCATTATCATTTATGTGTTCTTTGCAGCGAAGAAAATGAGATTTGAATTCAACCTCTCATTCCAGCAAGGCTATGGCATTTACAAGATCTCCCACATCAAGTCACCTTCCATCGAGAAACCCTCTTTTAACAGTTTATACAGCTGCAATTTCTCTGAGAGCAGAGTGGCAGTGCTGGACAGTGGTCAGATCGGTAAGTTCAGCACCACGGCAGCAGAGGACAGCTCCCTCCACAGCAAGCTGCTGCTTGAAGAGAGAGCAGACAGCCAGCCTCAGAGCTCCACAGAAAGGGACGGACCGTGCAATGTCTCACCTCATGTTTCTACCTGCGATCGTGAGGATCTTCACCTCGACAACTCGTCTGTATTCAATGGTCCTGAGAGGAGGCTGTCCCACGAGGAGTGTCGTAAAATCGAGCTGACTGACTGGGAGTGGTGCAGGAGTAAATCAGAAAGGACACCCCGACAGGTAAGATCACACCCATTTAACAGGCATAAGGGATTTAAGGGAAGTTACTTCATTTTGTTGTCAGGTAACAAGAAAATTACAGTAACAGGAAATTATATAATGTTGTGTATATCATTGCAGACCCCATAAAAACAAGTCTCAAGTCTCTTGAAAATATCAGATAATTTGAGCTTTTTATAAAGATGTTATGTAAGTTTTTTCAAAACTATGAATACTTTTCTAAATAATATTGCATAATAATTTTAAGATATATTATTTAATATATTTTTAAATTTCTTAATTTCTGATATCCAGTTATAATAATATAATAATAATTATAATAATATAAAATTTTCTCAGCTTTGCTCTAAATACAATTATTTTTTATTGCTCTTACTATATTAGGTGCTTACAGTTAAATATGCGAGTCATATGTGTTACAGGAAGGTTTGCATGAAATTAATATTTGCCCTAAATCTATTTTGTCAGTGCATGTTATCCACCTCATTTTTAACGTAATAGTGTACACAACCACTATTATTTGTCTAGTTATTTACTTATAGCGGCTATTAGCCGTTGGGAGTAACGCATTACAAAAGTAATAATATTACTGTAGTATATTACTTTTTGCTGTAACACAGTAATATAACGCATTACTAATCAAATTTGGGTAATATTATTACTCGTTACAATCTCAGTAACGCAAGTTACAACAACATATTTTAACTCAAAATTAAGTGGTGAATATACCAACACCGCAAAACAGCACCAGAGAAAAAAATTCCGCGGGTAAAATAGGTTGTCTATTTCATGTTGCTGGAATGAGATGACTGCAGAGACGGATTCTACATTTGTGAGATGGACACACTCCTGTTATTTTCAGTTCGTTGGAGAAAAGGATAAGAATGCATAGTCAGGTGCAATATGTGTGACACCAAACTCTCAACATGGAGAAATAGCACAAGTTATCAGAGAGAGCTGAGGGGTCGGAGAAGAGAAAAAGGTGGCGGACGAGCGCAGACAAGCAACAAAAATAAGTTTAACTAAAAATAAACTTTGTAATTTGTTTTCAGAATTGTGATTTGTTGTGCACTTCTCGGCCACCGTAGTACAGTGACCGAGAAGTGCAGAACAAATCACAATTCTGAAAACAAAATAACAAATTACAAACGCAAATGCAAGTCTAAAAAACAAAATAACAATTCAGAAATCACAACAACAATTCAGAAAACATTATAACAAGTCAGAAAACACAAATACAAATTCGAAAACAAAATAACAAGTCAGAAAACACAACGACAAATCCGAAAACAAATGAACAACTCAGAAAACACAACGACAAATCAGACAAACCGGAAGAGGTAGGAATAGTTTGAGACAGTGCCATTGGTTTGGGATTACTCGACCCGGGTTCAATCCCGCCTTTTGCCGAACTTTTTTTCCTCCCTTTTCAAATCTCGTATCACATCGTAAAGGCATTTATTTTTCAATAAAAATTAAGGAAATAATGAAAAAGTTGAAAATAAAGTATCGGGTAGGGTTAGGGTAGGTGTAGGGAGGGGTTTATTGTACCAATAAGGTGGCATCCATTTAATAATT